TTTCTTAATTTTTGTATATTATTTAGGTTTGCAAAGCAATTGCCGCTAAAGTGAAACAAATGGGTTTCAATGAAATGAAATGCGATTTCAATGTTGAGTTGATTTGCGATGAAGTGATAGAAGAGTATAGAAATGCAAACAATGAAAATCACGTTATGTTTCGGGTTTTCGATAAAATGTTGTCAGAATTCATGGATAAGAATAATAACATTAATGATAAACAAGTTTTGGATAATATTTTGCTTACCATACAAACGAATCCTGAATACGATTTAAGTAATGACTTAATAAACCAAATCTCAAGGAATGAGCGAATGATTAGATCTCTTGTTGACATCGTTTGCGAAAACTTTGTGACAATAAATGAGTTGAAAGTAACGGAAATTAATTTAAGCCGTAATCTTTTGGTTAAAGATGTGGATCAGATTATGACTAACTTTCGTATATTGCCATTTACTATTGATTACAACCTAATTATAAAATCAATAGAAAATGTGATTGAAGAATATAGATCCGATGCCACGGTATGGGATGTAAAGGAAAGCCTATCATTAAAACCGTCACATTTAGTGATAATGAGAGACACACCGGACTTATGGCCAATAGATTTGCATAAATTTACGGAAGATTTGTGTGACTCTATAGTCGGAAATGGATTCCTATTAACGGTATTCCGCTATAAGTTTACGGAACCGGAGATCGCATTGAATTCATTGAACGGAAATCATATTCATAATGATAACGATTCCGAAACACGAATCCAAAAATTTATCTCTTTATGCAAAAGTCATGGATTGAGAGAAATCTGTGGTAAATACGATACTATAGGAACAGTGGCTATACTATTGAGAAAGTTATTAGTTGTGCAGACTATTTGTGATCAAAATAATATAATTAATATTAGCGGCGATTATCAACAATGGTTTGATGTATTAAAAAAGAAAATGATTTCCGCTAAAGAAGAAGACAATAAGATGGATAACGTATGGCTTATAGCTAACGACTCGTGTATTAATGGTATCATTGGTTTAATGAATTGCTTGCGATTAGAACCGGGAGGAGAGAACTGGAGATATATTTTCAATTACGACAGCACTGGTAGTCCAATGGATATAGACTTCAATGTCAGCCCTTATAGCGATATATTGGCCAACGATTTGGTGGCGAATGTCGTGAAAGAGGGAAAAGTGGGAACTTATCGACACTTAAGACTTCCCACGGATTACGACAAATGCCTCTCAAATAAGTATTACTTAAATTCGGGTCAATCGCGAGATATCGCAGGTTTGCAGTGGTTTTGTGGCAATAATATACCGGTGCTTAAAAAGATGATTACTCCTAACAACAAAATAATACACAAAACACCGGTTAATGTCTATTACTCTGGTATTTCATTTCACGACGTTATGCTCGCAACCGGTATGTGGTTTCAAATTATTATTAAATCAGAATTTAATTTTTGATATTATAAGTACCGTAATATCTAATAAAATCATATAGGTCGTATCCCACCTGGCCCTGAACAAATATTCACGGACTGTTCCTTAGGTTGTGAATATAGTGGTCGAAAGGTTGATACCGGGGAAAGGGTTATGGGTTTAGAAATGGGCCGATCGTTCGCCACGTCTATTAATGCAGACATTCATAGCATGACTACAGTTCCCGAGCACTGGTCTCTGGCTGAGGCGGTGACTATACTCAGCACTTATAGCACATTGTATTACGCGCTCATCAAAAGGGCTAATTTGAAACAAGGTTTGAAAACTTGTCTATTTTACTATCTAATGTTACAGTACTTTAAATTTTACGTTTCCTTTTGTATAGGAGAGAGTATACTCATCCACTCAGCGGCCGGAGGTGTGGGACAGTCGGCTCTAAACATGTGTCTCCACTACGGGTGCGATATCTATGTGACGGTTGGGACGGAAGAGAAAAAGCAATTCCTTGTGAAGGAGTATAACATTCCTGTGAACCGGATATTCAACTCAAGAGATATTCTCTTCAAGAATCACATCATGAAAGCGACGAAAGGACGCGGAGTTGATATCGTACTGAACTCCCTGTCCGGCGACAAACTGGACGCTAGTTATCAATGTGTGGCCACTTCTGGACGTATCGTAGAGTTGGGACGTTTTGATATGATTCACAACAAACAGATAGGAATGTTTGACTTCGTAAGGGATATACAGTTCATAGCAGTTGTCGCGGATGTCCTGCTTATGGAAAACCTGAAGTTTTTACCGGAGTTTTACGATTGGGTTCACAAGAACTGTACGAATGGTTGCGTAAAACCATTCAATTATACGGTATTTAATGCCTCGGAGGCCGAGAAGGCGTTCCGATTCATGACAACCGGTAAACACATCGGGAAAGTAGTCATCAAAATGAGAG